ATCACGGGACACTTGTCGATCTCACAATCGATCTCATCATAGATATCACTCAACAGGACACTACGGGACACCACGGGACACCACGAGACACCGCTAGAACCACCGCCGGACAGACGGACGGGAGCGAAACATTTGTCTTGACTTCGCCCCAGCAACCGCGGACACCACGGGACACCACGGGACACCGCGGGACACCGCTAGGGCCACCGCCGGACGGACAGACGGACGGGGGATAGTCATTTGCCTTGACTTCGCCCTAGCAACGGCGGGTTCATTCCTCTCGCGCGCCCACGCAGCTTCGCCTCGCCCGCACGCACGACACGAACGAAACGAAACGATTTCCCGGTTGGGGGTCTCCGTTCCACTGCGATCTCACCCCCCAACCTCCGATATATGTACATATATACTTCTCGTCCTTCTCCCCGTTCCCCCAAACCATCCCACAGCCCGTGCCTCTTGCTGCGCATTGCGAACAGGGTCGGCGGCACCGGCCGTCAGGCCTTCGCAATATGTGCACATCAATGTGCATCTATATATATATATATATATATACAAGACTGCATTGGCACTGCGCGCCATGCACCTTGGTCCTCTGAGTTCTGCACGCAAGCGGAATGCGTGCGTGCGAACATGCGCGCATGCATGTATACACGCGCACGTGCATGCACGTTCCGTATAAATGTCTAGGTGTATACAATATACTTTCATTGTTGTATGGGTATACGGCGTACATATGTGCATATAAATTTATGTGTGTGGGTATGAACATGCATATGCAACTCGTACGGGGCATCCTCGGGCATCTTCGCTGCATGCCACGAGACCCTCAACGACTGGGTCACAATATGAACTGTCATGGAAGCAAAATCAATGAATGCTGGCATTCGGAAACATCGTGGGGGTGATGTCGGGCCCTCGTGGGCCGTTTTGGCGCCTTCATGGGCCGTCCTAGGACCTTCTTGGGCCGTCTTGGGGAGCTTGGGCCCGCTGAAGCCCCCTTTGGGCCCATCTCGGGCACTTCCGGGGACCTCCCACGGCCCTTTTGGGTCTATGCTGGGAGCCCTTGGGGGGCCTCTTGGTTCCATTATGGGCTGTCTTGGGGCTCTCGTGGGCGATCGTGGGGCCCGGCTCGGCCGTCTTGAAGAATTCTAGGGGGCCATTTGGAGCGTCTTGAGGCGATCTCGGGGGCTTTGAAAACGTCTTGAAAGCTGATGAAATCCGAAAGGCGAATATGCTAAAATTGTAAATTTTACGAAGGGAATAGGACGATTTTTGTGCTTTGACGGCCCCTTGGACAGCTTTTTGGGGTGCCTTGGGGGTCTTTTTGTTGGCATTCGGAAACATAGCGGGGGTGTTTTCGGGGCCCTCGTGGGCCGCTTTGGCGCCTTCATGGGCCGTCCTGGGGCCTTCTTGGGCCGTGTTGGGGAGCTTGGGCCCGCTGGAGCCCCCTTTGGACTCATCTTGGGGACTTCCGGGGACCTCCCATGGCCCTTTTGGGTCTGTGCTGGGAGCCCTTGGGGGGCCTCTTGGTTCCATCATGGGCTGTCTTGGGGCTCTCGTGGGCGATCGTGGGGCCCGGCTCGGCCGTCTTGAAGCTTTTTTGGGGGCCTTTCTTGGGCGTCTGGAGGCGATCTCGGGGGCTTTGAAACCGTCTTGAAAGCTGATGAAATCCGAAAGGCGAATATGCTAAAATTGTAAGTTTTACGACGGGAATGCGACGATTTTTGTGGTTTGGAGGCCCCTTGGAAAGCTTTTTGGGGTGCCTTGGGGGTCTTTATGTTGGCATTCGGAAACATCGTGGGGGTGTTTTCGGGCCCTCGTGGGCCGTTTTGGCGCCTTCATGGGCCGTCCTGGGCCTTCTTGGGGAGCTTGGGCCCGCTGAAGCCCCCTTTGGGCCCATCTTGGGCACTTCCAGGGACCTCCCACGGCCCTTTTGGGTCTATGCTGGGAGCCCTTGGGGGGCCTCTTGGTTCCATCATGGGCTGTCTTGGGGCTCTCGTGGGCGATCGTGGGGCCCGGCTCGGCCGTCTTGAAGTTTTTTTGGAGGGCCTTTCTTGGTCGTCTGGAGGCGATCTCGGGGGCTTTGAAACCGTCTTGAAAGTTCATGAAATCCGAAAGGCGAATATGCTAAACTTGTAAGTTTTACGAAAGGAATGAAACGATTTTTGTGCTTTGAGGGCTCCTTGGAAAGTTTTTTGGGGTGCCTTGGGGGTCTTGTGGGCCGTCCTGACGCAATTGGAGTCCCTCTTGGAGCACTCTTGTGCTGCCTGGGGCCTCCCTTGAGCCTTTGCTGACCCCTCGGATCGCTCTGGGTCTGCGTTTGTGGAGACCCGGAAAGCCGGGTGACCTTTTCCAAAGACGTCCAAGGGAGCCCGAGAACCCAAGATCCCGGGGGTCCAGTTTTGGGGGGGATGGTTTTTCCCCCCACCACGGGCTTGTAAAAACTTAGGAGGAGGAACACACATATATGTATATGTATATGTATATATATATATATATGTATACATACATACATACATACATATATATTTATATATATATATATATATCTATATAGATATTCTCATACGCACCTCTCCGAGGGAGTAGAGCTCAGAGGCGATTGATGCGCACGCGTCCGCGATTTTTCTGGGCGTTTCGCTCGGGACGTCCTCGAATTTCTGAAAATCGGTGGCACCCCTCACGCAGATCGTGACGTCAGGGTCCAACAACACATGGGAATTTCAACATTTTAACATAAAACCTCAAAAAAACACATAGTAATTTCAATACTTGTGACCCCGATTCTCAGGGAATGGCGGTCTCGCTTGAAAAATCCTTCCAAAATCGAGCCCCAGACCCCCCTCGGAGCCTCCTGGGGGCCTCCTGGAACCTCCTGGGGCCTCCTGGGGCTTTCTGAACCTTCTGGCACCCCAGACCCCGCCTCGGAGCCTCCTGGGGGTCTCCTGAAACCTCCTGGGGCCTCCTGGGGCCTCCTGCGGCCTCCTGGAGCCTCTTGGGGCCTCCTGAAGCCTCCTGGGGTCTCCTGGGGCCTCCTGAGGCCGCCTGGGGCTTCCTGGGGCCTCCTGGGGCTTCAGAACTACATGCACACAGAGACACAAATCACGCCCAACACATCACACGCTAGACAAACATAACACACACAACACCTACAAAAGACAAAAAGCACGCACCACACAACGCATACATCACACACGCACACGCGCACACGCACAGCCACACGCACACGCACACGCACACGCACACGCACACGCACACACACACACACACACACACACACACACACACACACACACACACACACACGCACAACACTCACAATCCTGGGGCCTCCTGGAGCCTCTTCTGGTATCCAAGTCGGGCCTCCTGAGGCTTCCTGGGGGGTCCTGGTACACACATCGCAAGGTGTGGCAACCCCACTTGCGCTCGAGTGCGACTTCGATGTTGCATTTCACTCCTGCTTCAAACGCCCCTTCAGTTTTTTGTATGAGCCTGGGCACACACGTGCCACTTGTATACATATATATATGTATATATATATATATATATATATATATATATGCATTGGACACGTGTCGGCACCTCAATATTCCCGACGAGCAGAGAGGGCAGCGATGGGCAGGGCAGGGCCAAAGGGGCGCTCTTGGAAGACAGGGGACTTCTTGGGAGGGATCGGCCTCGTCTCAGAGCTTCTGCGAGGAACCTCTCAGAACCGAGACGTCCGGCACGTGGCCTCCCCGCGAGTCTGGACCCCTGCCTTCTCATCGTGAGCGCTTTCTTAGTCGGCGTTTCGACACTGGGCGGAAGGGCGGGCGGGGGAGCGGGGGGGGTGCCTGGCTCCGGACCTCTGCTTAGCGCGACTGTGTGGGGGAGACTCCGCCCGCTCGAAACAGGCGCCCAAACTTGCCAAGATCTACTCCACGCGGGGGGGGGGGAGGGGGCGCGAGGGCCCGCGCCGATCGGCAAACCATGAAGAAAGAAACGATCACCATCCTGAATCAATGTTTGACTTAGATCGGGCGTGTCCCCCTACAGGCGGATTCAGGGTGGAAAGTTAATAGTACTCAAAAAATACACCAACATGGCCAAACATAGTCAAAAACGTCCCCAGTATTCTGGGACTATTTTTGGATATTCCTCCTCTAGAGGGACAGGCCCGACTTACTGTTTGACGGCCATGGGGCCCGGAGAGAGCGCCCCGGGAGGCTGCAGACTGTCAGCAGCCCCCGGCCGCTCTCTGCCCCCAGCCGAGAGCACGCAGGCGCGAGACCCTCCCTCGAGGCCCAGGTCGGGCCTGTCCCCCTACAGGCGGATTTTGGGCGAAACACTTAAGATACTCCAAACAAAGATTCCAAACATACCCCGAAATGGTCAAAAGTCGTCCCCAGATTATTTTTGTTGAATCTTTTTGGATATCCCTCCTGCAGAGGGACATGCCCGACTTAACTCGAGGCTCAAGGTCCATGGACCCCCTGCTGGTCGCCGCGCGCTCGCGGGCCTCGCGCCGAAGCGCCCCTGCAAGACCCTTCCGCTTAGATGGGCCAGTGTTCCAGCACCGCCACCACAGGCAGGACAGGGGAGAAGGGAGGATGAGGTCCTCCTCCTCCTCCTCCTCCTCCTCCTCCTGTCTCTCCTCTTTCTCCTTCTCTTTCTTCTCTTCCTTCTCCTCCTCCTCCTCCTCCTCCTCCTCCTCTTTCTCCTCTTTCTCCTCCTCTTTCTCCTCCTCCTCCTCCTCCTTCTCCTCCTCCTTCTCCTCCTCCTCCTCCTCCTCCTCCTCCTCCCCCTCCTACCACCTGTGACACTGCTGGCGGAACATCAGCCCATCAGCACAGAGCTCATCTGAGGGCAACCGACGACGCGATAGGCAAACCAGAAAGACCCCCTCGACCCTCCAGGGCCGACAAAACTTTTGCCGACTAGACTGCTGCTTTTCGAGCGCGCCGTGTGCAAAGGAAGAGCTTCTTCGCACCGCGCCTCCTGCCCTTCGCAAACCCGCGGACCTTCGCCTTCCTGGCTTCCGTCCTCCGCGTGGGACTCCCTGTCCGTGAAGACGTTGACTGCGCGGGGCTCCCTGCCAGGGCTCGACCAAAACAGTGTTTTTCGTTTTCGTGTTGTTTTCATTTTCCATTGCCTTGTCTCCAATCCGCCTTTGTTGCAAAACGAAATCGAAACGAAAACGGCCCACGAAATTGCCAAAACACCGTCTAGGTGGACCCCTGCTCCCTGCCTGTCCTTCGGCAAGCGGGCCACAACATGAGCTCCACGAACGGAGATGCGCAACCAGGAAATCCGAGCGAGCGCAAAAATATATCGCATTCTACGCTGTGTGAAACAGCGGGGTAGCCGGAAAACGCTGGATTTGATTTGGCTCTCGGCCCCGGATGCATCTCGAACGTCGGGCGACTGGGTCTCGGGGACCTGGGTCTGAGACCAATCGCTTTGCATATTCTTCCGACGCCCAAGCCACCCCATCGAAAACGACCTTCATGCCCTCAGTCCGAACCCTGACCGTGCACAACGCATCATTCATGAAGTCACACTTGTACGACATGTGCGATTGGCGAACACACGCATGCAAAGTCAATAGTTGCGTTGCAGACAAGAACGATATTTGCATTGTGGTACCTCAAATGTCAGAGTAAAACAGAAAACAACAACTGCTGCATTGCACAAGCAGCTGCAACTCCAACGACGGTTTCGATCCAATGCTCTTTTTTGGCTACCTGGATTACCATATCCTGGTGCCCACTCGCTGGTGAGTTGGCGATTGGCTCACCTTCTTCGGGAACTGACCGCCACCGTGCCTCTGGGCACGGCGCAGGCGTGTCCTCAGGTCCTCTGCCTGATCCCTGGAGCCTCAGTCCTCAGTCCTGCCGAATTTCTAAAAGCTGCCTGGGACACACATCAAATCTGGCGGGCCTTGTCGCGGCTCCCCTGGGCTCCCCCGCGTCTTGCCGCATGACTTTTTCGGGCACGAGACGGCCCCAAGACGGGTCCAGAGGGCCCCACGAGGCCTTCAGGACTGCCCAAGAGGGCCCCGAGACGCCCAGAGATCGCTCCAAGACGCCCGAGATGGCCTCGACATGGCCCAAGAGGCTCCCAAGACGCACCAAATCATTGGTTTTCCTACGAGGAGTTCTTGACATATTTTGGCGTCCTCGCCTTTTCGGCTTTCCGACTTTCCAAGGCGGCCCAACAGGCCCACAACACCACCCCAAAGCTGCCCAAGAGGCGCCCAAGGCGGCCCCCAAACTGTCCCAGCAAAGGGAACCCGAATCTGGAAATCCGAGCCTTCCGCCCCAAGAGGCGCCCTGGAGAGGCGCCCAGGAGGCCCCAAGGGGCCCCCTTAGAGGCACCCAGGAGGCCCCAAGAAGCCCCCAAACGCCCCCAAAAATGCTTCCAACCTGCTTCCAAGAGGCCCGGGGGCGACCACCACGAGATCCCAACGAACATCCGATAGGCTTCATACCCACAACCCAGGCACGGTGGCGGGATAGGCCGAAGGCCATTCGATATCCGAATGCTGTTTTGCGAGGCCCCTTCCCGATCACAGCATTCTGCCCCCCCCCACGCTGTGGGTCTTTCATGGGTCCACGTCGGCGGAGTCCAGCAAGATGAAGTACCGTTGACGACGCTTGCATCTGGTCGCTAGGTACTCGACAGCACGATTTGTTCGTACATCACGTGCGCCGATCCCTCATCACTGATGATATATTTACGGTTCCGCGCCCTGAAACAGACCTTCATAAACCAACACTTGCAATATTCTTCTGTTACGGAGGATCAGAAGGTTCACTCTCTCTCTCTGCCTCTGTTTCGGCGGTAGCTTGGGCAAGTGGGGCAACAGGTTTGAAATAGTTACCAGCCATGCCCCAAGACACCCAAAACACAGAGAGGCGCAGACGGGCGGGACACGCGGAGCGCGGCCTCCGTGGTCGCCGACGCCGCTCCATCGCCGCCTCGACGCCGCCCGTCGTCTGGGCCTGTCTGGCAGCCCGGCGACTCCGTGGTTGCCGTCGCCGCCCCCTCGCCGCTCGTCGCCGCCCGTCGTCAGGGCCTGTCTGGTGGTCTGGTGGCTCCGTGGTTGCCGTCGCCGCCCCGTCGCCGTCTCGTCGCCGCCCGTCGTCTGGCATGCATTCGTTGCTTTGCACGGCCTTGCGTCGCTTGGCATTGCTCAGCATTGTTTCGCGTTGTCATGCTGCGCTCGCAGTGCTTGGCATTGCCTCGCATTGCTTTACATTGCTTCGCATCGCATTGCATTGCGTTGTATTGCTTCGCCCTGCATTTCATTGTTTCGCATTGCTCTCCGTTGCTTTGCATTGCTTGCCATTGTTTTGCATTGCTTGCTTCGAATTCCAGTGATTTGCACTATTTATTACTGCGCTGCCTGGCTCGGCATTGCTTTGAACTGCACTGCGTTGCATGTGTTTGGGATGTTTTGCATTGCGTTGTGTTGCGTTGCGTTGATCTACGTTGCTTTGCATTGAAACGCGTTGCGCGTCACTGCTTGCTCAACGTCGTCGCCACTGCTTTACATTGAATTGTGTTTCTTGCATCGATTGGACAATGTTGACTGCTCCACGTCGACTGCACAACATCTAATATTTTTGATATATGTTCGTTGATCCGGTTGGGGGGGGGGGCGGATCCCCCCCGAAAACGGGATCCCCGGCGACAGAGGGTCCTACGAGATTTCTGGTCCCTCAGTGCCGGCGGCGTTCCCAAGAGACCCACAAGACGGTCCAAGAGGGCCTTTCGCGGCCTGGTCCCCGCCAGACGCCTGGAGACTGCCAAATATCACCCCAAGAAGCTGTCGAAATGCAGAAGCGATATGATGTTTCAATTTGTTTATGATGCTGGGCTATGCGGTTGTTCGGTTCTTCTGGGCGCCCGAGAACGCCCGAGAGGCGCCGAAACTTATTCAAAACAATCGAAAAGGTGTCTTGACACTCCGAGAAAACTCCACGACGGCCCAAGAGAGCTCCAAACTGCCCACAGAAAGCCTTTCCCCAAGACGCTCTCTGGAAGCATTCAAACCGTGACCCGACCACGGTTCGCGGCATGGTGGGCCAAGGACCCCCCCAGAGGCCGCCCAAAGGCGCCAGGCACGTTTCCAGAGCCGCCCAAAGGAGCCCCTAGAAAGCTTTCGCGAGGTACTTCGGAAGCTCGCCGCAGAGGAGCTGCTGCAAACAAATCTGGGGAGGACGGGGAAGCGTTCGCGGAACAACTAAAACGAAAACGAGGACACCCGAGGGAAGGAGAAGAAACAGCAGCATGAAAACAATGATTGCGAAATCTGCAACTGAGAGGGATCATTGTTCTGATTGTTCTACCTCTCTCATTCAGCCTGCATGCTAGACGTGAAGGACCGAGCTGCCTGGCGCGAGACGCTACTGCAGTCTTGCATATATTGCACTACATGAGGTGCTGGAAATTTACTCACTGGGGTCCACACTGTGTGTACCCTGCAAATCGAGCCTGCGCCCCCCCCGGCGCTCGCGGAGACTTCCTCCTTCCGAGAGGGACAAGCCTCGCAGAGACCTCCCGTCAATTTTTCCGGCAGCACGGTCTCGCTGAAGACCTCCGTGCGGTGTGCTCAAGGATCACGCTCTCGCCTGGGACCTCCTCTGAATGTGCTCAGGATTCGCGCTCTCGCAGAGGACTTGCTACAATATAAATAAGAATCGCGCTCTCGCCCAAGACTGTCTCGCAGCCGCAGAATCGCGATGTAACGACCCGCCCGCCCGACCCGCCCGATAGGATCCGCCCGCCCGCCTGGCCCGCCTATTATACTGCCCACCCGCCAAGGTCCGCCCGCCCGCCCCGCCTGTTTGGGTTCGACGGGCCGATTGCTTTGACACCCGCCTGAAACGCCCGACCCGCCGGGTAGAGTCTGCCCGCCCGCTGCCCACCCGACCTGCCAATCAGGGTCCGCTGGGTCGACTGCTGAGAACCATAAGCCGTCCACTTGAATGCATCAACCGCCCGACCCGCACGTGAGGAGCTGGCATTTTAAAAACCCAGGGGAGTAAGTGCATAGACAAGGAGGGTGGGAGCCGAGGGCCATCTAGGGCGTACATGATGAATTAGACGCTGGCAGTGAAGGGCAATAATTTGAGAATCATGGCTGAATTCTCGTTTATTCATTCAGGAAGGGCGCTCTGGCTCGAGACTCCTTTGCAATTTGTTTGAGCATCGCGCTCGTGCCCAAGACTGTCTCATAGTCTACTCAAGGACCGTGCTCAGGCCGCGCGGGGATCACGCTGTCGCCTAAGACTTCGCAGAACATTGATAAAATATCGCGCACTCGCCAATCAGGAAATCCACTGGTGCCAAATACTTCCTCCCAGTCTATATGGGACTCGCGCTCTCGCGTGGTTTTCTTTCCGAATTAAATCAAAATGCCCCACCCGTCCGATCACCCCGTCAAGTTGGGGTCGCCAGACCTGCCCGTTACTGCTGATTCGTTTGCTTGGAAGGCCGCTTGCCAACTTGAATGTCCCGTGCGCCCGACCCACTCGCTAATGTCCGCCCGTCGCTTGCCTCAAAACCCGCCCGCTTGAAAATCTCCCCCCGCCCGGGCCTGCTCGGTGAGGCCCGCCCCGCCTTTCGAGGTCCGCCCGTCCAACCCACCCGACCGGGTCCGCCCGCCTGCTCTGCCTCCCCTACCCTGTCGGGAGTTGCCCAGGCGCCACCCAACCTGGGCGCGCTCATGGGTGAGTATTGTGGGTGCCGGGGGCTCTGGGTATAGTGTTGAGTGACAGGCGGGCAGTAAAGATCGAACTGTCTTACACTTATTGTGGTTGTTGCGCTCGTAATTAGGAGCACCCCCAATGTCAGGTGCCCATTGTGTTCTTCAGTTGAAGCGCCTCCCCCTCTGGCGCTCGCACCCTGTTGTTGATCAAAAGGGATCTTCATGCTCAGTCTGTGTCCCTGGACACCTGGCGGCGACAGCACCAGCGGCTCCCACCTGATACCTCCTCCCAATTAATCAGGGAATCGCACGCTCGCTCGAGACCGAATCGCAACTAACCCAACATTTGCGTTCTCGCCTGCGACCTCGCTCAGCAATCGCGCCCTCGCCGCTCAGGAATCGGACTCTCGTCTGAGACTCCCCCGCAGCTTTGTCAGGAACCGCGCTCTCAACATTGCTCCTTCGCCTGAGACCTAAACAAACTGCTTAGACATCGCGCTCGAGACTCTCTCCGGCTACCTCCCCAGCTTTTGCTCTGGAGTCCCGGTCGGAGGTTCCGCCCGCCTGGTAAAGGCCGCCCGTTCCCTTGCTTGGGAGCCCGCCCACCAACTCCAGTGTCCCGCCCGCCCGTGCCACCCGTCGGGGTCCGCCCGCCCGACCCGCCGGTCAACGTCCATCCTCGGGCGGGTGGTAATGTTGTGGATGCCGCGACAATGGACACCCCACCGTGCTTCAAACATGTTTTTTACATGTTTAACACATGTTTTAGACATCTGGAAATTATTTGGCAACATGCTTCCTCTCCATGGATCTTCTTCCACAATGGTAATGGGGGGTGATGTCACCCCCCATCACCACCCGCCCGACATCCGCACGACCTGGCCGTGTTATCCTGTCGGGGTTCACCCAGGACCTGGCAGAGGGCCAGGCGGTAGGCGTGAGAGCGCCTTACCTGGGCAAGCGCGCTCCACTACCCGCCAAGGAACTACTCGCAAATGGCCTGGATCCGCCGTTGGGATTGACGATCCATTATATCGAGGTGAACATCTGTTTTTGGAACGTTTGCGAGTAGGCACTTTGCGAGTAATGGAACGCGCTCGGTGATTACCCCCCACGCCGTGCACCTCATGCGGCTGCGGCGATCGGCTATGTCTGTGGATGAGAGAGGTCGCGCAAGCATTCCAGTCGCATCCACAGACCCGCTTAACTGGGGCGGCTCCGGCGCTTGCCGCCGTCGTTCGCAACGGGGGGGCCCCTCCCGGCGGTTCCGAGCCCCCGCCCCTGCAGCTCATTGGCGGGGTGGGGCCGGGCTCGAACCCCCGCCTGCAACTCGAGGGGGGGGCCCTCCCAGTTCGAACCCCCTCCTCCTTGCACCTCAGGGGACAGGGCTCCCCCCTCTCCTCCTCCCCCTCCTCCCCTCCTCCTCCTCCTCCTCCTCCTCCTCCTCCTCCTCCTCCTCCTCCTCCCTCCTCCTCCTCCTCCTCCTCCTCCTCCTCCTCCTCCTCCTCCTCCTCTCCTCCTCGTCCTCCTCTCCTCCTCCTCCTCCTCCTCCTCCTCCTCCTCCTCCTCCTCCTCCTCCTCCTCCTCCTCCCCCTCCTCATCCTCCTCCTCCCCTCCTCCCCCTCCTCCCCCTCCTCCCCTCCTCCTCCTCCTCCTCCTCCTTCTTCCTCCGCCCCCTCTCTAGCGTCCACAGATTGCGCTCTTGCAGCTCTCTCCCTCCCCCTCCAGGCAAAAGCAAACTCGCCGCAGCCACGAGGGGGGAAGAGCCTCGAGTGTCCGCAAGCCTCGATCCTCGGACCTCCTCGAGACGACGGAAACGGACGGCGACGACGACGACGACGACGACGACGACGACGACGACGACGAGGACGAGGACGAGGACGAGGACGACGACGACGACGACGACGACGACGACGACGACGACGACGACGACGACGACGACGACGACGGGGGTGGCGGCGGCGGCAACGACGACGACGATCGGCGCCGTCCCCCGACCGGCGAGCACTCTGGATGCCCGCTGGGGGTCCTCGGACGTCCCTGGAGGCCTGCACGAGGTTCGAAAAAAAAACCACGAAACGGCCGACAACCTCGACCCTCCAGCCCTCCAGTCTCCTCCTCCCGACGACGGCGACGACGACGACGACGACGGACGGACCGACTGCCCGACGGACGGACGTAGACGCATGTGGTCCTCTGCCTCCCATGGTCCCCTGAAGGTCGCCCGAGGTCCCCCCGAGGTCGTCCAGAGGCCCGGAAAGCGCCAGACAATCCGCACAGAAATCTTCTCTAGAAATCTTAAGCCACAGTCCTCAACGACGGTGACGGCGCTTGCGGCAGCGACGAAGACCTGCGGCGGCAACGATCCACGACGCAGACGACGGCAACGGCGGCGCCGTCAGCGACAAGGCAGCGCGCACGAGGGGTATGGCGCGAGGGGGGCGGCCTCCTACGAAGGCGGGGGCCTTCGCGGCTTCGGAGAAGGCCGCCAGAAAGCCTGGGGGCTTCCAAGAGGCCCCCCCGCCATTCCAGAAGCTCGCCCACGTTCCTCGATGCCACCCCCCTCGCGCCACCACCTTGTGCGCCGCGGGGATCCATCCATAGCCTGGAGTGCCATGTGGAGCCTGCTAAAGAGCAGGAGCATACCGTAGACAGATCTGCCCTCTCTTCGACCTTGCACTGCGTCGAAGGCACCAGCCGCGTGGTCCATAGACGCACCACCCCCGACTGTGTCTGTATACGCAGCGACACCCAATGTGTCCATAGACGCCCGTGGCTAGAACGTGAGAGCGGTACTCGGCATTGGCCCCAGATGCCGGTCTCCTGCAAGCGGGAAGCCTCTGTCCTCCAATTCGTTCATGGCCACCGCCCATGGGGTGTACACACGGAGACATCCCCGCCTCGCAGCCTCTGCGGGGCGGCGAGCGAGGGGGGGACGTGAGAGGGCCCGGGGCTTCTCAGAAGGCTCGGAAGTCCCGGGGCCTTCTGCGAAGTTTTCTGAGCCTTCCCGAAGACGCAGAAAACCCTCTCAGATGGCTGGAGGGCTTCTGAGACGTCCCGCCGCCTGCTTAGAAGGCCTTCTCCTCCTCATGTCCCCCCCTCGCTCGCGGCCGATCTGCGCCCGTGCGCGTCGCCACACGACGGCGGCGACGAAGGGCGGTCCTTGAAAACGCGCGCTGGCGGCGCCCACGGTGGCGTCGAGCGCACCGCTGGCCAGGGCGGCCCCGGCGTCGAGCCAGCCTGCGGCTCACGGGCGGGCAGCGGCCGCGGCGACGCCGGAGGCGGCGGCGGCGCTGCCGACGACCGCGACGCCGACGACGCCGCCGACGACCTCGACGGCGACGACGGCGACGACGGGCGACGACAGGGCTGAACCTGAACGGTGTTTTTCGTTTTCGTTTTGTTTTCGTTTCTCCTCGTTTTGTCCTCTATCCGCCTTCAAAGCAAAACGAAATCGAAACGAAAACGGCCCACGAAATCGCCAAAACATCGTTTAGGTCCAGCCCACGACGGCAGCCGGCGGCGACGCCGAGGACGACGACGGCCACAGCGACCGCACCGTCGGCGCTTCGAGCATGCTCGAGCGCTTCTGAAGGGTTTTCGCCGCCACGGCTGGAGGCGGCCAGGAGACCCTGGCCAGGATTGACACCGGCTGGGAAGGGAGGGCGGCGCACAGTGTCTCGGCTCGGCTGGCCCTCCTTCGATATCCTGACGGGGCTGGGACGAGGATAGGAAGAGGATAAACGAGGAGGAGGACGAGGAGGAGGACGGATCGTGAGGGGGTCTCGGTCGGACGACGACGACCCCGACGAGGACGTCGCCCACGACCAACGACCCGCGACCACGACTCGCCGCCGCCCACGAGGACCACCGGCGCAAGATCTGTGGGGGCGGGAGTCGAAGCTCTTGGACCCGGGATCCAACCAGGGCGCGTGTGGCTTGGCAAGGTGGCTCTTCCGATCCTGTTTCCCCCTTGTGGGGGAAAGGTTTGACCCTGCCCCCCCACCCATTGCCCCAATGCAGCCTTTCTGGGCATACCTGGGGCCCGTATTGGGGCTCTCTTGGGACCCTCCCGAGGCTATCTTGAGATTTCAGGAGCTCCCTGGGGCGAAAACGCGAGAACGCAAACGTCACTGACTTCTGATGTCCCCTTGAATTCTGATCCATTCTGGCCCCTCGGGGTCCCCCTCGGCGGTGCCTCGGGGCCCTATGGGGCCGACCTGGAGGCAGTCTTAGCGTGCCTTCTGGGGTCTTATCTCTTGTTGCCATGTCTCGTCTCGTCTCGTCTGCATGGCCGCCTGGGGCCGCCCTAGCTCTCCGCGGGGGTCCGCCCGACTTCTCATCGGGCGCGGCCTTACCGATTTTTAGCAAACCATCCCCTTCCGTGACGTCATCCTCGCCTTTTGAGCCACCCTCCGGCCGCATGCATACGTCTTGGGGCGAGGCGAGGGGGACGCCACGGAAGGGGATGGTTCGCTAGGGGTCGGTCAGGCCGCCCCTGATCATAAGCCACGTCGCAACACTTCCCCCTGGCGGGGATGTATCCACAACCACCACCTGGGGGACCGAGCTTCCGGGACCTCAGCTGGCGGCTGACATGGGCATGAGCCCTTTTGGGGCTCTGCTGAAGCTTCTTGGAGCCCGAGCAGTGCTTCTGGGGCCGTTGCGACCAGCTTGGCGTCAAGTTACAAGTGGTCCTGCTGTCGGCGGCGAGCCCTGGGGGGTAAGTGAGAGGACGCGGGCCTTCTCAGAAGGCTCGGACGTCGCCAGGCCTTCTGAGAATGTGTTTACGCCTTCCCCGAAGACTCAGAACACTTCTCGGAGGGCCGGATGGCTTCTGAGAAGTACCGCCGCCTTCGGAGAGGGCCGTCTCCTTCTCAATAGGCCTCCTAGATTGGGTCCGAGAAGATGGGGTCGAAGGATCGCGCCGCATCGCCAATGCATCGCAGATGCATCGGCTATGCTCGGCGACGTCGGCGATGCATCGATGACGTCGGCGTGGGGAAACGCGTGCTCCACATCGAGCCGCACCGTGGATGCATCGGCGATGTGGTGCGATCCTCCGACCCCATCTACTCGGACCCCATCTAGGAGGCCTCGATTCCTTGGATGACCCAAAAGGGGTCCAGCTAAAAGGGGGTGGTGCAATAGGTTTGGGGCAATTGTATTGTAAATGTATTGCGCCAGACAATTGTGTTGCATTGTATTTCGAGTAAGTGATGTACGCTTGCAGTACATTTGCGCACCGGGATGTATTGCACACCCCAGATTTCTTGCAACCCCGCAGATCTACTGCACCAAATCTATTGCACTACCTCCTTTTTGCTGGACCCCCTTCTGTGTCAACCAAAGATTCCAACTTCCCCCCCTCGCTCGCCGCCGATGCTGGCCTGCCCGCGATGCGAAAGCCTCTCGGGGGGCCACCTCACCGCGCGGTCCGCCACGGCACGGTCGTGGGAACCTCCGTGAGATCCTGGCACCTCAAATTTTTTAGAGCCCGGCGTGTTCACTCCATTTCGGGCCCCGGGACCCTCACAATTCAATCTGGCTCGACAGATGACGCAAAGAGATGGGGCCCGGGGGTCCAGTCGTGATTTGTTGCGATGTTGCATTCTTTTTGCAACGTCTGGTCTCAGGGCTGGAGGCCTCCGTCGCCCGAGCTGTCCTCGGAGAACGGCCCGAGTCCCCCCAAAACTGTGCGGTGACCCTCCTCCTCCTCCTCCTCCTCCTCCTCCTCGTCCTCCCCCTCCTTCCCCTCCTCCTCTTCCTCCTCCTCCTCCTCCTCCTCTTCCTCTTCCTCCCCTCCTCCTCCTCCCCCTCCTCCCCCTCCCCCTCCTCCTCCTCCTCCTCCTCCTCCTCCCTCCTCCTCCCTCTCCTCGTCCTCCTCGTCCTCGTCCTCGTCCTCGTCCTCGTCCTCCTCCTCCTCCTCCTCCTCCTCCTCCTCCTCCTCGTCCTCGTCCTCGTCCTCGTCCTCCTCCTCCTCCTCCTCCTCCTCCTCCTCCTCCTGCTCTCTCTCCTCTCCCCCTCCTCCTCCTCGATTCCCTACCTTCTCGCCACGCGGTGTGGTCGCCGCACCGTCGTCTGGGGGGCCGCCGACGCACTACAAGCGCCCGAAGAGCTCACGGGAGGCACAGCTCCACCGGGCCCCTTCGGGGAGGCCTCGTTAGGCCCATCCTGGGTCCCGACGCCACGCCAGCACGGCGGCGGGGTTTGCAACGAGCAGTCGCGGCGGCCTTGGGCTCCCTGGGTCCAGATCTTCTCCAGCGGAACTTCCTCCTCGCGTGGGCGAGGCATGGGATGGAAAGGCGGCCTCAAAGAGGGGTGCCACCGACGATGATCATGGCATGTGACTCGCGCGCAGAGTGGAGACTGGGAGTGCGAGATACACAGAAGTACACACAAAGAAACATTCGAGGAACTCGCGCACGCATACCGTTCGCAGATGCGCTGCGTACAGGGCCGTCAAGGGACAATGCGCCCACGCATGGAATGGGCGGGATTGGAGGAAGGATCAATGGAACAGCTGGCATATGAGAGCAGTCATTTGTACCCCGCCGCGTGCGGTGCAATACCGACCCAGCTGTAGAAACCAAATGCAGTAATGTCAGCTTATGATTAGCAAATCCGTGGGGGGCGCGTGTTTAAAACAAAAATTCCCCTGCTCGGGCGAATCGCGGGGTGGCGCCCGCCAGATTGGAAATCAACGGGGCGTCGCCAGTGATTATACTTCCAGTGCTGCTGCGGGAACGCACGGAGCTCCAGCCAACCGGTCGCGGGCAAGAGGTGCCAGAGGAGGAGAGGAGGAAGAGGACAGCACCAGCATAAAAGGACAGGAGCGGGAGGAGGAGAAGAGGAAGAGGAGGGCGAAAGCCAGCCCGGGCGAAAACCAACCCGGGCGAAAGCCAACCCGGGCGAAAGCCAACCCGGGCGAAAGCCAACCCGGGCGAAGAACATCTACGCCTCGGCGGTGGACAAACCTCCCTTTAGTAAACCTCCCCTTAGTGAAAACGGCCTGGGACCGAAACCGACGGACCTGGACCTGCAAAAATGACGGCCGCGGCGCCCTCTCGCGAACCGAAAACGGCCAATTCCTTTATCGACGTGTCAGGGTAGGAGGTCTGTCCACCTCCGATTTACGCCCACCTCGGACCCCCCGGCTGGCTCCCCAGGGAGAGGAAGGGCGAGAGAAGGCCCGCTCGCTCGCTCTCGCGCGCGGGGGCGGGGGGGGGCGATCCCCGGCCCCGCTCCGCGAGCCAGCCCCGGGCCCTGACCGGCGTTCCCCGGGGGCCGCCCCCGGCGCACTATAGTGCCCGCCACCCGACGCGCTCCCTTCGGGCGCCCCGATCGGCTGCACGGCGCGGCGGGCGGATCGCCGGCGGACTCCGCTTCGTGTGCTTGGATTCGTGTGCTTCGATTCGTCCGCTTCGGCTCGTCCAGTTTCAAGCCGTCCGGCTTCGAGTCGTCTGGGTGTCGAGCAAGGACACCGAACGAAGAGGCCAATCGGAAGAGCTCGGATCGAAGGAGGACAAAACCAGAGCGGCCAGAAGGAAAGTCCACTCGGCGGCGAGCCCAGGGGGGACGTGATACCCAGACCCCCGACGTCATGATTTTTTCATGACGTCGACCCCCAGAGGTTTGGACCCATTCCCCAGGACCGGTGTTTCCTCCTGAGTCGTTTTTTGTCGGTCCCGAGGCCCGGTAGGGGCCCCCGGAGGCCGAAAATCGCGAAAAACCTCCCGTCGTGATTTTTTCACGACGCCAGGAGGTCTGGGTAGGAGGCAAGCCTTCTCCGAAGGCGGCGAGGCTTCTCAGATTCTTAGAAGCCCTCCTGCCGTGGGAGGAGCCGCCCCCCTGTCGTCGGAGGCAGGAGGCCGGAGGCCTGCCGAGCCCCCTGCGGGGGTTCGCCCCCCCCGGACCTCTCTCCCCGGGGGCTCGCCGCCGAGAGAGGCGGCGAAGGAGGATTCAGGACTCAGCATCGGCCTGGGCGTCGAGGATCCGTGTTCCGGACAGATCCAGGAGGCACGGAGGTAAGGAAACGATTTCTGCACATCATATGCACCAGCGCCGTTCCTGGCCCCGCGCCGAAATCTGCTCTGGAAAGCGGATCCCGTGTGACTTGTTCTGCGCATCCCCGGGAAAACAGGAAGAGAAGTACACACCACACCACCCCGACGTCGTCCCCGACCCTCCAAAAGTCAGGGGGTTGAGAGACAACCCGCCGCTGGCAGAGTGCACACGCTCTCGTCTCCGAGGCAGGGGCCCACGAGGCAGCGAGGGGCCGAGGAGGGAGCCCGACGGCACGAGCGCGGTGCGAGAGACACGAGGGGCCGCTCGCGAGGTGGCCGAGCAAGACGAGGGAGGCGCGACGCGAGGGGCAACGATACAGGGGGGGGGGGGGGGGACACTCGCCATCGCTCGGACGTCCATTCCCTGTGTTTTCTTCGGTTTCGTGCGTGGTTTTTCGCCAAATGATCAGGGATGCTCCTCGATGGCCCTCGCCGAAGGAAAAAATTGCACACGTCCGAGCGATGCCCAGGGCACAGGGGGGGGATGCATCGACCTGTAATCGGCGATGCACCGTCGATGGGTCGGCGGTCGGCCCCGAACAGTGCATCCGCACCTTCCTGGGCGGGGTGGGGCGATCGGGCCCCCATCGGCGATCAATGGGCGACCTGGGGGTCGATCCTCCCTCCCTGTGCCTATCGTTAAGTCGGGACTGTCCCCCTACAGGGGGATTCGACGAAAAATAAAAAATACACCCAAAATTATCGAAAAATAGTCCAAAAATTACTGTGGACTTTTTTGTTTGTTTGTTTGTTTGTTTGTTTGTTTGTTTGTTTTTTTGGGGGGAGGGGGCCTTTTTGGGGCATTCTCGGGGTATTATTTTTATTTGTTCGTGGATAATCCCCCTGTAGGGGGACACGCCCGACTTAAGCCTATCGCCCCCTTTCACTGCCCCCGACGACGGCGCAGGGGAGCACTCCTTCTCCGTGCCGGGTGCGGCCTTCGCCTTCTTCTTCCGGTCCGCCGACTTCGGCCTCCCGGAGCCGGGCCTCGAGGCCCCGCCGGCCGCGGCGGCCCCGAAGGCGGCAAAGGGCAGCAGCACCAGGGAGACCTCGAGGTCCACGCGAGCCGGGTCCTCCCCGCCGCGGAGCGGCACCTGGTGTTAAGTTGGGCCTGTCCCCCTACAGGGGGACACGCCCGACCTAAACCTGGTGAGATCTTTCTCACTCGGCTCTGCGAACACTCGACGTCGACCAAACGAATCTGTCAACCTTGGGGCAAATCCTGTAGTCGATCCCCTACTCGAATTCCCAGAACATTGCTTGGCTCCGTGCGTGTATTGCACCAAAAATCACGACCAGAGCCTTGATCCCCATATTTTGCTTCATTTCCCGAGGCGGATCGATCTGTGATGGTCCCAGGGCCCGACACTGGGAGAAGATGCCCAGCGTGAAAGCTCTGCAACGCTCGGATCTCAGGGTCCGAGCGATGCCAAGGCACTTGATCTCTGGGCACCGCGCCCCGGAAGACGCCGCCAGGCGCTGCCAGCACGGCGCCCTCCGGCGTCGTGGCGGGGCAGGGCTGGCCCGCCGCCGCGAGGCCGACGCGCAAGCCGCCCACGCTGCAGCTCCCGAGGCTCCGCTTCTTGCCGCCGGGGGCCTGGCGCCACACCTTCGATAGAGGGCACAAGTAGGGCGCCGCTCGCGCCACTCGTGCGGCGATGCTGCGTCGAGCGTCCGTCGACTCGGGTCGACCTTGGGTCGAACTTGAGTCGAGCCTGAGTCGAACTCGAGTCAGAAGAGCCATCACATCCTCCGACGTCCTCTCTCTTAGGTGCGCGATCACGGGACCCTTCAATGACGCACGCGCTCTTGCTTGTTGTTCAAGCTTCGTTCTGGGACAAGAATGAATAAACACTGGAACGAACATGGAACGAAACTTGAACGACAAAGGAACGGAACTGCACCGAAACTGAAACGAGACAAAAACGAAGCTGTAACGAAACTGGGAAGACGCTAATACACCACGGGAACGACATCGGAACGAAACTAGAACACCGGATCGCTGACAAGGACGAACGTCGACCGACAATGTAATGACATCGCAGAAAGGAACCGTATTCTCAGACATCTTGAGGACCCCGATACCTCACACCTAACATCTCGTTGCGAACACATCGCGACGGAACATGTTTGCCAATTTTTAGTCTCCAAAGGTCTCAGAAGCCCTCGCCTGGCCCCGGGATGATGACCAAAACTGCTCGGGATGAAATGCCAGTCCCAGGGAAGGGGTCTGGACCTCTGGGGAGCCACGCTGGGGAGAAATCGCGACGGAGGATGTCTGAGTTGCGAGAGCACCCCGCACAACAAACGAAAAGGCCTTTGTCAAACGCTCCACACCGTGAAGAGGCAAGGAGAGCCATCCTCACTGATAACCCTGAGATCCTGGCATCGCATTTTCTTTGCAGAAGGTCTTGCCTTGCTTCGGGCCCCGGGGCCCTCGCACGTCGGGGCCCTCCTCATGGGCCCTCACATATCGATCTGACTTGCAAAATGCCGAAGAGAGATGGGGTCCAGGGCTCCGGGCGTGAATTGCTACGATGGTGTAACTTGTTCGTGACGTCGGATCCCAGGGAAGAAAACCCGAGTACAACAAGAACGAACAACTTCTTCGCGGACGCGCCCAAGCGGGAGTCGGACAGGGCTGGCTTAGCAAGCGCCCTGGGAAGTTCAGGAAACGCCAGTCGTGGGGGTCTGGGCAGGAGAGCCCAGAATCGAATCGATAAGTCGGATCGGCAATCGAAATGAATGGGATCGGCGGGAATCGGCAGCCGAGTCGGGAACAGTCGAATCGGCGGAAATCGTCAGGCTAGTAGGTGCCCCCAAAAACGGAATCCGAAGTCGAGTCGAATCGACATCGGAAGCCATCGAAATCGAAGCGGAGGAATAGAAATGAGCCCTGTCTGGGTGGATTCCCCTCCGCTCCTGCAGAGAGGCCACCGCCACCGAGCCGGGCGCCGCTGCCACGCCCGAGCGCCACCCAGCAAACGGTCGTGTGCCACCGTCCGCGGGTGCCCCCCCCCCCCGACGAATTCTTAGGGGCCTCCCAGATGGGGTCGGAGCAGATGGGGTTGTCTTCTGATGGCCCCCAGGCCCTGAGGAAGCTCCAGATCAGGCCGGACTCGACCCCTTCCAAAAGGAGCCTATTCCAGAGGCCTCCTAGATGGGGTCGGCGCAGATGGGGTCGGAGAATCGCGCCGCATCGCCGAGTTACATCGGCGATGTATCGGCGATACTTCGCCGATGCTTCGGCGATGCATCGGCGATGCATCGGCGATGCAGCGGCGACGCGGCGCGATCCTCCGACCCCATCTGCTCCGACCCCATCATCTGGGAGGCCTTGAGAAACCTCGGTGGCGGTGGTTGTTTTTGTTTCTCCTCCGGCCCATGTCGGGGGCGCGCAAACATGAATTAGCGATCCATGGATTTGGCGCGCGGTCGCCAAATCCATCCCCAAAACGCGGACGGTGCCGTCTCGTTCGGCGGCGGATATCTGCGATTTCCCATGGAAACGGGACCCGCCGCTAATCCACGCCCCCTTGATCCATGTTTGCGATCGCCTGACCATGGCACCTCCATGCATCGACGATGCATCGATGATGCGTCGACGATGTAACTTGGCGATGCGGTGCGATCCTCTGACCCCATCTACTCGAACCCCATCTAGGAGGCCTAGCGGTGGTTTCTATTTGTCGCCGGGACCATATGAAGGGGCCCTGGGACACACACCTACATATACACACACAAACAACAGGATTCCCCATCTTTTCCCATATCTTCTGGGCTCTTGTCTTCACCCCTACTTCCCATATTTTCTCATATTTTCCTGGGAGTCGACGATTCATTTCGGCGGTGGACAAACCTCCCTTTAGTAAACCTCCCCTGAAGCAAAACGGCCTGGGACCGAAACCGACGGACCTGGACCCGCAAAAATGACGGCCGCGGCGCCCTCTCGCGAACCGAAAACGGCCAATTACTTAATCGACGTGTCAGAGTAGGTCTGTCCACCTCCGATAATTGTGTCTGTGTGTTTTTCCCCATCCAGCCCATGGCACCTCGAAGTGCGCCACCGCGGAGCCGGGCGCAGAGACCACGAAGTCGCTCCCCTCCTGCCAGCGCACCTCGCCGGCGGCGCGGCTCTTGAGCGAGGGGGCGGCGGGGATGGGGCGAGGGCCGGCGGTCCTCCCAGGGGAGCTCCTCCTCCTCCTCCTCCTCTTCCTCCTCCTCCTCCTCCTCCTCCCCCTCGTGATCCTCCTCCTCCTCCTCCTCCTCCTCCTCCCTCCTCCTCCTCCTCCTCCTCTCTCTCCTCCTCCTCCTCCTCCTCCTCCTCTTCCTCCTCGTCGTGATCCTCCTCCTTCTTCTCCTCCTCCTCCTCCTCCTCGTCGTGATCCTCCTCCTTCTCCTCCTCCTCCTCCTCTTCCTCGTGATCCCCCTCCTCGGAGGGCCACTCTCACGGGGGAACGAAGCGATGCAGTCGAAACGCTGTCCCACAGTAAGGAGCGAGGCCCCTTCCCATAAGTTACACTTCGACTTCTCATAGAAAACCCCAGGACAACCCAAGACAAGCTAGAACACAATTGAGGAGCACTGCGCCCTTCCCCAACGAAAAAAGCTCCTTCTTGAACGGCCCGACTGTACCCATACCGTTGCTCCCTCGACCTCTCCCTAGGTGCTTTCTGACCAAGGCTTAGGTTGGGCATGTCCCCCTACAGGCGGATGTTGGAAGACAAATGTTAAGATAGTCTAGAATATCCAAAACTGGTCAGCAATGATATAACCATCTTGCCCATACTTTTTTCGAATTTTGAATATTCCCCCTGTAGAGGGACGTGCCCGACTTAAGCCAAGACCCCAGGGCGAACCCGGCCGTGGCGGCGAAGGCACTTCCCCCAGGGGCCGCGGTCTCTCGGCACCAGCTCCTCCTCCGTTTTTTTTTTGTTGTTGTTGTTGTTTTTTTGTTTTTTTTCTCTCTCTCTCTCTCTCTCTCTTTCTCTGGGGCTCGTGTGCCCTGGCCGGACGGGCCTCCCCTCGAGCGGCGGGAGTGCTCGGTGGCGCCCCCGAGAAGCCCCCCCCGCCCCCTCGCGAGGCCGCCTCCACTCGCCAGGGCGACGAGATATACTCACTGTCCACTGCCCTGGCCAGGCTCCTCCTGGGGCCGCGAGCGGCGCCTGCGCCCTCCTGGCTCGGCAAGGGAGGCAACCACACACCGCTCGATCTGTTCTCCCTCTCGTTGAGAAGATGAAAAAAAAAAAAACGCCTTTAACGTGGAACAATTTGGGGCTCCGCGCGGATTTCTTGGATCTGCGCTGGACTCCCCCTTCCTGGCGCGCGGAGGGCGCCAGGGGCGGTGCCAGAGGCGCCGCCGGGGGGCACAGCGGGGACGTCCTGGGCAGCTGCTGGGGGACGTCCTGGGCAGCTGCCGGCGGACGTCCTGGGCAGCTGGGGGACGTCCTGGGCAGCTGGGACGCGCGGCTGTTCGGCACAAGCGGAGCGGCCGCGGGCAGGCACGCCGATGCCTCACCCCCCTCACCCCCCTCTGGAGGGCCGGGGCCGTGCGCAGCGCGGCGTCCTCAGAGTCGCTCAGTGGCATCTGGAGACGGCCCTTGCCTCCACTGCGGGGCAGGGGCGTGCACGGACGGGGGCTTCGCCCTGTCGCCGGCGCCCACAGGAGGGCATGCTGTCGAGACTCTGGGTTGGGGATCCCGGGCCCCTTGAGGGGAGGGGCCGTTCGGAGCGCCGGGCTCCTCTGCGCACGGGTTCCCTTGACGCTTCTCGTCCTCCCTGCGCCCTGCTTCGGCTTATGGCATTGGCGTGCGATTTCTGCCGAAACCTATTGCTGGCTCCCTTCCAATGGGGGAACGCCTGGGCATAAGGTGCGCGGAATCCGCCATTGCTGTCTGCCGAGGCGGCTCGCGTAGGGTTGCGGCTGGGAAGGGGGGTGCCTCGTGTTGTGGGGCTCCTGCTCGTCGTCGTCCTTTTCTGCGGGGGCTCGCCCGGATCCGGCTTGTATAGTCAAATTCGCGCTGGCACCGAAACGTGCCCCTGTCATGTCCTATCAGCGCGACGCTGGTATTCCTGACTTGTGGGGGTGTTCTCCCTTTGCGCGCTGACGGGGGCCTGGTAATGCGGTGGCCGCAAACTCCTCCTCGGCTGCGCGCTGCCTTTCTGTTTTTTTTCTAACGTGATTCTGCCCCGGGGGGGCCACGATTCTGCTCTAGGGCGGTTCCTCCTTTACCCCATCCTACTTTTCTCGGCTTTCCGCCGAGGGCGTCTAGGTCTCAGGCAGCCTGTCGCCATCAACCACAACGGGGGGCGCAACGCGGATCCAACAAAATCCGCGCGGAACGCCCAAAGTTTATGTTGATGGCGTTGTTTCTCCTTCGATGTTTGACGGGGCACCACGGACGGCCGGAGTAAGACCCCGCTGTCCACCTGGGGCGCTTCGTGGACAACTACGACCGTCGGTCGGAAGAAGTGGGTAGAAGCATGCAATTGGAAACCGCTGAGAGAAGATTGGGTTTCCGCCTGCCCCCTGAAGAGGAGGGAGGGGGGAAAACCGCTCGACGCTTGAAGTAGGAAGGCGCCTGAAGCAGATTGGGATTTGTGAGACCGAAAATACCCACTTTCACCGACACACGGGTAGGTACCAAACTGCAAGAGCGCCCATTTTTTCCTTGGCCGATGCAGCGCTCCTGGACCCAGGATGGGCCTCGCCCGGGGCAGCGAACATGCCAAGGCGTGCGATGCCATGTCCTGTTTCGATACGGGGCCGCCGACGTCCGGTCCCTTTCTTCAAGACCCGGCCTTCATCCCGACTCGGGGATTTACTGACTCGGGTCAGCCCAGATCTGGGCCCATCAATGTTTCAAGATTCTCCAAGATCCCACAAGATTCTGCAAGGTCCCGCACCCACGCCCGTGTCAGTGCACCCCTGGCCTTGCAGGGCCCTGCAAGATCCGGCGCTCTGGCTGACCCCGTTCGCATTGACCCCCGTCTCTTGAGCCCCGAGTTGTTTGACAGTCCTTAGGCACGGCAAAGGCCCACAGAGGCAGAAAATTGTGACATACCTTAACCGCTGCTTGTACCCAACCATCCTGTGGTGCTGGGTCCTCGTTCTGAATGCGCGTCGCCCCGCGCCCTGGTTTCCTCAACTCCTCGGGGCTTGGAATTCCCCGTCGGCGCAGTAGTACCTGTGACAAACACCACCGTGCCTGTGATCCAAAATATTGAATAGACGTCCTCAACTGCGCAATAGCACATGTCACAAGCACCACCGTGCCTTTGGTCCAACATCGTGGTCCAGACATCTGCCACCCACAGCAGCCGTGGGCCATTTCAAGTGTCTCTGGGAAACATTCTTGGGACGGGTGCGAGGCCGGTCCCGGAATTCGCCTCTCCATGACACTCCCGCTTCACGAGGCCGGTTGTAGGCACAGCACCTGCGCACCGCGGGCATACAAGCATACCATTGAAAGGTGGTTGTTTAGGCCCCGCTCGAAGGCAGCAAGCGACACGAGGCCTCCCATGAGCACCGCCAGCGTAGATGGTGCTCCTGCGAAATGGCGATGGCGGCCTGAAGCCGCTTCGCGTCGCATTGGGCAAGTCATGCGAACCTGCGCGTGGTTCCGTGTCGTGCCCGATCAGCCGTGCAATTTGTAGAGCCGCCCGCCACGCCTCCTGAAGTATGCGGCCCAAGAACATGGGCGAGTGCCAAAGCTCATCTGCGCTGTCCAGGGAGATCGTCTCGTCGATCCCATGGTTGTACCATTTGCAGTGTGCCATATTCCTCAACCCCGTCCACCTGAGGTGCTGCGGGATAATGCCTGCCAGGGTCCGTCCCATCCCACAAACGCCTGGCGTGCTGCCGCAGTTCTGAAAGGGGCCCTGGGACACACAAAGAAAGATACACAAAAAGCAGGATTCCCAACATTTTCCCATATCTTCTGGCTTCTCGCCTGCCCCCCACACCTCCCATGTGTTCCCATGCATTCCTGGGGGTCGACGATTCATTGTGTCTGTGTGTTTTTTCCCCTCCTAAAGCTCGCTCCTCTGGCTACAGCCCGCGCTGCGGCGACGAGCGCCTCCAGCCGCGCGCGGCCACCGTGGGTCGACCCGGCGCTGGCAGTGCGGCGACGACCGGGCGCTGGCAGTGCGGCGACGACCGGGCGCTGGCAGTGCGGCGACGACCGCGGTGGTACACTTGGCAGTGGCGCTGTGGACAGCCGCGTTGGAGCTTGTCCGTGGCCGCGCGCGGCGGCGTGGAGCTGAACCGAAGCCCCCAACAAGGGGGGGGGTCGTATGGCGACCCCCGGGCCCGTTTCGGCACCCCCCCCACACGCTTCGTGCTCCACCGGAGTCACCACGGGGTTGGGCTCGCAGGGCGCCCCTGAGCCTGTTTCGGCAACCCCCTCACACGTCCCGAGGCCGCATGTCATGGAGCTTCACCGAGGCCCCCAGGGGGTTGGGTTCACATAGCGTCCCCCAGCCCACTCCGGCACATCCCTCACACGTTTCGTGGCTCCATCATGAAATCCCTTCTTTTGCCCCACCTGCCTTGCGATACTCTCACTTGCATATATGGTTGGGCCCTTTGTTTGGATAATGTTGCGACGCGGATATGCCTGGCTTTACGTATCTTGTCGTCCTGCATGCCCAAACATGCGACGTCCTATTTTTTTCAATACGGGGACCCTGAATCGTTTTGTCGACGGTTCTAGGGCCCGGCGAGGGCCCCCCGATGCCGAAAACGGCCAGATAACCTCCCGTCGTGATTGTGACGCGAAGCGAGCACGTCGCCCTAGCTCGCTTCCAACTGGCGCCACCTCCTAAGTATCTTTCGACAGATCCCTATCGCCACGGGCGTGGCCTGGGCCCCAGTGGCCGACTTACCCCCCTAGATGGGAACATAAGCTGTTGCCTTCGCGTTTCGAGGGGAACATCCACAACTGGGGTGGAATGGTGGGGCTCGGGATGGAGGGCTGCTGCCGTTCGGGTCCATCCAACCCTAGACGTCATGATTTGTCTCAAAACGTCGACCCCCAGAAGTCTCGACCCCATTCCCTGGGACCAATCTCTCATCCGGAATCGTTTTCTGACGGCCCCGAGACCCGGGAAGGGCCCCTGGAGGCTGAAAATAGCGAAAAACCTCCCGTCGTGATTTGTTCCTGCGTCGAAGGGGGTCTGGGGATGGGACGGGGACGGGGCCGCGGCCTGGAGATCAGTCACACGATATGGAACCTCCACCACTCCCTGCGGCGCGCCGGCGCGCGCCTGCAACCGCTCCCCGCCCCCGCCCGCAGGCCCCGCGCCCGGCGGCCACGCCGGCTCCCGCGACGGGGCCGCCAGGGAGGTGGACCAGGTCTCCTCTCGGGTCGGAGGCGAGGGGGGGTCCAAGATCTAGCTCCTCCCTCCCTCCTTCCTCCTTCTCTTGCTCCTCCTCCTCTTGCCCCTCCTCCTCTTGCTCCTCCTCCTCTTGCTCCTCCTCCTCCTCCTCCTCCTCCTCGTCCTCGTCCTCGTCCTCGTCCTCGTCCTCGTCCTCCTCCCTCCCTCTCCTCCTCCTCCTCCTCCCTCTCCTCCCTCTCCTCCTCCTCCTCCTCCTCCTCCTCCTCCTCCTCCTCCTCCTCGCTCTCCTCCTCCTCCTCCATTTGTCTTCCTCATGGATGACTCCTCCCTGCCGCACCCCGAGGCTGGTCGAAAGGGCGGGCTAGGCGTTTCGCCTGAGACCTCCCCACCATTTATGTTCCTGAGGTTTGGATGGTGTTCAACATGTAGCTCTCGCCCCAGCGCAGCGCACATTTTTTTAAAACTGCAAGAGTTTCACGGATTGAGGGCGGTTGATTTTCAAAATGTGATTCTCGCCCTAGCGCCGCTCACATTCGTTGCAACATTTGCAAGAGTTTCGCGGATTGAGGTCGGGTCGTTTTCAACATGTGGCTCTCGCATTAGCGACACGCGCATTCTTTTGTAAAACATGCAAGAATTTCGCGGATTGAAGGCGGGCCGTTTTCAAAATGTGGCTCTCGTCTTAGCGAGGCGCAAATTCGTTTCGCACATGTGCAAGAGTTTCGCGGATTGAAGGCGGGTGGCTTTCAAGCTGTGGCCCTCGCCTTCACGCCGCGCACATACGTTTTCAAACATTGCAAGGGCTTCACGGAGTGAGGGCGGGCCGTTTGTCGAAATCTGGCTTTCGCCTTAGCGCCGCGCACAGTCGTTTTTCGTTTTCAAATAAAACTGTGTAAGAGCATCACGGATTGAGGGCGGCTCGTTTAAAAAATGTGGCTGTCGCCTTAGCGCCGCGCGCATTCGTTTTAAGAACTCGCAAGAATTTCACTGCTTTTCATGGCTAGCGTGGCTACCGTACTACATATGGTGTTTTTGGAGCGATTCAAGATCGTCAGGGCGCAGCAGATACGTTGACTCGCGGTGTTGAAGTTCCAGGACAGATGTTCTGGCACGATTCAGGATCGCCAAGGCGTACCACTCAGGTTAACTCGTGGCGTTGAAATCCTGAGAATAACGTTTTGGCACGCGGAGTCAGGATCGCCAAGACGTACTAATCAAGTTAACTCGTGGTGTTGAAATTCTGAGAATAACGTTTTAGCACGCGTCAGGGTCCTCGTTTCGAAGAGACAGCGCTGCGCCCCACCTCCTCCTCCTGCCTCAGAGGGAGCTCCACCCAAGGCTCCTGTGGCAGGGTTCGCATACACCCTCGCGCCATTTCTGCGCACCCCTAAGACAATTCGTGGCTCCACAGGGAGTTACAAACAAAGCGGCCCTCACACCTGCGTATGGTTGGGTCCTTCGCTAGGCTATGTTTTCCAACCCCGCCGTGTTTCTTGACTTCGGCCTCTGGGGCCCGCTATTGGGCCCCCGGGCAATCAAAACGAATCCGGGTCGAACGACTGCCCCCGGGAATTACGAGGGGCAACGGCAGGGGGCGGGACCAACTCTGGTTGTGAAACATCGAGCTGGAATCCCCGATACATCGCCGATGGATCGGCGACAGGCCCCGGATGGCGAAACCGCGCGTCCTGGGCGGGGTGGGCCATCGGGCCGCCGTCGGCGACGAATGGGAGATTGGTGGCCAATGCGTCCCCCCGCTGAGCCTATCCCCCCCTAGAATGTCGCCCCTGAAGTTCGCGAGTCAGCTCACGCACCTGATGGACGCCGCCGCGGCGACCTCCCCCCTGCTCTCCAGGCGCCACAAACGCACAGCCTGGGCCGAACGTGGCGGTAGGGGAACAGAGGCTCGTCGCAAGCTTCGTCTCTGGGTCTAGCTCTCGGTCTTGCCCCGCGGGGCCGCGCGCTGGCTCGCCTCGTTTCCTCAGCACCATGCGCCTCGGGCGCCAGCATCTGGCGCAGAGCTCCAGCCGCGGCGCCCTGCCGCGGTGGCGCACGCCCCCCCCTCGCGCGCCCGTGGGGGCGGGCGCGTCAGCTCGCGCGCCCTCGCGCGCCAGCAGGGCGCCGCGCGCGGCTGGGCTTCGGCGCGCTGCGCCCCACCTCGCCCCAGCGGCCCTCGCGGCGCACGAAGCGCCGCCCTCGCCCCCCTCGCTCCGCCGCGGCCGCCGACGCGGCCCGACGGGCCCGCTTCGGGGTTCATCCATGCTACTGCGCGGTGGGGGGCGGGTGCCCGTCTGCCTCCCGCCAAGGCCGCCGCCTCAGTTCGCCCCTTCGCCCCCCGCGCTGTCCTGCAGGAGACGCCGCCGCCCTCGTCGTTGGGCCCAGACTCCGTCCCGACCTGAGGCTTGCCGCCCTCTTGGCTCTTACTCTTCAGCCGCCCCCTGGCGCAGCAGCGCCGCGCGCCCCCCCGCGCGCGGGCCGCGCCGCCTCCTAGCCGCGAGCAGCGCGCCCCGCCCCCTGCGCAGGCCCGACCAGCCGGGGGGTGCTTAGCAGGGCCGGTCGCGTTCAGTACTCTCTCGCTAACGTGGGCGAGCCGATGCGCGGGATATGCGTTGCCATGGCTGGGGGGGGAGGCGAGCGGGCGCGGCGCGATGGTGGGTCAACTTAATTCCCCTCTCATCGCGCGCAATTAGCTTCCAGGCCATTGCCAAAAAGGCGGCGGGGGCAGCCGCGCGCGTCAGTGACGTGCATGGCCGCGTCTCGTTGACCGACTTCCCCGCGGCGGCCCTCGTTCCAACTGAGCAGCCGCGCCGCTAGAGAGCGCCCGAGCAAGTGTTTGGACGGCATTTGACCTCCTCGCGCGCTGACCGCCTCCGTCGCGTACTCAGCCGTAAACGGATGCTGGCCGCCCGGGCTGGCCCGGCTGGCGCGAGCTGCTAATCTGCGCCCGTCTTGTCACCCGCGCGAAAACCAAAGACCGTGCGGGGCAATCCCAACTCTCGCTCGCTATTCGACGTGCGACCCGGGCAGTGGTGCTAATGGCCAACCACAGCATCGTGACAACTAGGGCGGCCGCCACTGCTGCCGCCGGGCACTTGAAACGCGCCGATGGCGTCGTAGCGCGTGCTCGGCAAAAAGCGCTGACCAGGCCGGCCATGACATGGATCAACTGACTCAGCAAGGCGCCCGCGCGCGCCCGGACCTCTGCCCGAACCACTCCAGAACCTTCGCTGCATCGTGCCGGGCCAGCCCCCGTAGCCGCCTTCGCTGCTGATGTCTTAATCGGAGCCAGGCGAGCCCTTGCTCTTGCCGCGCCGCAAGGGAGGTGTTGGTCGAAAGTGCTAATTCGTGGGAGGGCCCTCAGCGGGGCCTCCTCCCGCCATCCTTGCCGCTCCTCCGCGCCCCCTTCGAATTCCTGTCGTGGTGGTGGTAGACAAAGAAGTGGGCCGCGTGCGAATCGGTGCGTGGAGGTGGAGGCGAAGGTGAAGAAGCGGCAATCAGCTCCCGGGGGGCCTCTATCGGGGAATTACATTGCCCCCGCGTTGGTCTGGGGACTGGGGGGGGGGGGGGGGGGGGGGCGTCTCGCAATCCGCATCGCCCTCCTCGCAGCTCCCTTCAAGTTCCCCGCTGGGGATGGGGGCCCGCCTCCGCGTCGAAACTGCGGGCCCCGTCGCGGTCGACATCTCCCTCCTGGTTATCGCGCGGCGCGCGCTCGAACTTGACCGCTGTCGCGAGACCGCGACGCGCCGAGCCAGCCCGCCGCGGCCGCGACGAACGTGGCGATGATGCAATCCTGCAGTCTGGCGTTTCTCATCATTGCTGACAAATGTACTCCTCGCGCCGCCTCCTCCGTCGGCCACTCCTCTTCGTCCTCTTCGCGCGTGCGCGGCCCCCGCCCGAGGCCTGCAGGGCTGCGCGCCGCCGCCCCCAGCAGCGCCGCGCTTCGGCCCCGCGTGTCGGAACGCCGCGCGCGCCTCGGCCGAGCCAGGCGCGGGCGCCCGCGCACCCTGAAGGAGGAGGCCCCGACGGCGGCCCCCCTCTAGCATTGGAGGCCTGATCAGACTCGAGCACAAACCGGTGCGCAAGGGGGCGAAGGTAGGACAGCGGGGACACGCGCGATTCGGGCCCGCTGGCCACAGCCCGCCGCTACAACTAATGGCTGATGCTGCAGCGCTCACAATCCCACGCGTCCCCAAATGACGAGACGGCGGCGCAGGAAACGCGCCGCCCGCCCTGGCTCTGGCGGATTCGCAAACTGACGCAGGGGGGGCAGGCCCGGCCCCCTCTGGCGCGAGCAGCGGCGGGGATGAGGACGGGGATGGGGCTGGGGATGAGGAAGAGGATAGCGAGGGGGGAGGAGGAGGAGGAGGAGGAGGAGGAGGAGGAGGAGGAGGAGGAGGAGGAGGAGGAGGAGGAGGAGGAGGAGGAGGAGGAGGAGGAGGAGGAGGAGGAGGAGGAGGAGGAGGAGGAGGAGAGCACCACCCCCGTTAGCGCAGCAGTTCCTGGGTGACGAGCGACCGAAAGGCGGCCCGCCGAGCCCTCGCACGGATGGCCTGGGTGGCATAGGACCTGGCAGGGAGCCTCCCACACTCCCCTCTCCTGCGGGCGGCGCTGAATGCACTCAAGCGAAAATCGGAGGCGGCTGCGAATGCTTGGATCTGCTCACGAGCAAGACAGGACGCAAACGGAGACAGAGGTGGTGGGTCACCCGCGGGGCAAGATACTCGCAACGGTATCGGCACCCCAGAAATCAGGGAGCTGGGGTAACGACTTGCGAATTCACAGGGCAACAGTGGGGCATGACACATAATGGAGAAGGGTGTCGGTCCCAAGGCAGAAACACCCAACATCACGCAAGGCTTTCGCTTGACGGAATCTCCCAGTCGCTGGCCAGGCGTTCAATCGGGTTTCGAGGACGGACGAAGTTGTAAAGACAGGAAGTTTCATACCTAACGTGTAGACGAATGCTAATCATACCAGCATCAGCTAGGATTCCAGTTTCTGTCCCAGCATCTCATACGGTTAATGACGGAGTGTTTAGCGCAGGCGAATAGATGGGTACGAAGGACACACTTGGTGATGGCATGTTGAATTTGTGTGGGGGGCTTGTCGGTAAGAGCTCCAGGGATATCCACGTACGTAACATATCCAGACTTCATGGAATAGATGATAGACTGTTTGTAACACGGGTACAACGAATACGCAGGACACTACACAACAACCTTTGCGGAGGCGTCCAGCCTTTGACATATCAACTGAACTTGGTCGGACCTGATGGCAGTCCCCAGAAGGGAAGCGCGCGCAATAATCTCAATCGACCTGCGCTCGAGTGGCAGGCCCAGAAGCTTGATATGGAACGTAGCCTTCGGGGGAAATTTGTGGCGGGGAGCATGCGGCAGCCGTTGATGGTATTCTCTTTCGCAAGTGAACATGGCTTTACTGGGCGGGTACAAATGGCCAGCGCGCGAATACATCATAGGAACAATCGAAACGTCGAAGGCCTGAATACTTTGCACGAAACCCAAATCCATGTTACGGACATCGTCCGTGCGCGTCCTTAGCTTTTTGGCCACGGGGATTCACGGCATAAAACACTCGTCCCGACCGATAGTGATTCCCAGGAATTTGCCAAGACTTCGGAATACAAAACTTCGAGACATTGATGCCGCAAGTTTGGAATCCCTGCAGGACCTCCTGTTCAATATCTGTATTGAACATCGCGATGCCACAGTTCTGGAGGTTGATATGGAGGCCCGTAGCAGCTCCAGAGGACCCCAGGCGTTTTAGGATGACTGGGGAGCAAAAAGGTCCCTGGCCACGAGCGACAGATCGTCGGCGAACGCGCCGAGATCAAACTCAAGCCGAGGGCGTAGGAGGAGGAGGAGGAGGAGGCTGATGAGGAGGCTGATGAGGAGGCGGAGGCGGAGGCGAAGGGGTAGGAGGAAGAGGAGGAGGAAGAGGAGGAGGAGGAAGAGGAGGAGAAGGAGGAGGGGGAAGAGGAGGAAGCGGAGGATGAGAAAGCGTCCGCCCTGGTCCTCGCCACCCGTGCTGGGCTCCGCGGAGCTGCAGCGCACCGTGGCCCAGCACTGGGCCCCGGGGTCCGCCAGCGGCGCCCCGCCCGAGGCGCAGACCACGCCCGCGCGCAGAAGGGCCAGGCCGCCGCCCGCGTCGCCCGCGGTCTCGTGGAGGAGCGGCGCCCATTCGGCCCGCAGGGCGACCTTTGTCGACACCATCGTCGTCGTCGTCGTCGTCGTCGTCGTCGTCGTCGTCGTCGTCGTCGTCGTCGTCGTCGTCGCCCTCCACATCCAATCAGGGGGGGGGAATTGGGGCGGCGAGGTGTTTATCTCCACCACAACCAGCTCTGCACAGTCTCCGGGCGACGACGGAACGCAATGACACATGAATGAGAGCACGCGTGAAACTCATACGGGACACGAAGCCGGCTTGAATCACCACGTAAACTTGCAAGCTCAAAACCCTTGACAGGAGGAAGGGGAAGAGGAGGACGAGGAGAGGCGGAGGAAGGGGGAAGACACCACAGGCGCGGCAAGGTGGCCGCAGCTCGAGGCGGCAAGGTATACACCCTGTACATGCGGGAAAAACGGGTCCCCCGCACGATGACATAGCGACCTTGCGCGGTGGCGTGTGCGGGCCGCCAGCGCGGCACACGGCGTGCAGAAGAGGGCACGCACTCGGGAAACTTACGCACGAATGTCTGCGCAGTGGACCAACTTTCCCTCCGTCGCTCACATGTGAACCGCCCTTGGCGTCAGGCCCATCCTGAGCGCAGGGACGGGGCGTGGGCCAAAGATGCATATACATATCTATTCCTCTTCTCGTATTTTTACAAGCCCGGGGGGGGGAAAAACCATCCCCTCCCCCCCAAAAAACTGACCCCCCGGGATCTGGGGTTTTCGGGCTCCCTTGGACGTCCTTGGAAAAGGTCGCCCGGTTTTCCGGGTCTCCACAAACGCCTTGCCAGCAGACCCAGAGCGATCCGAGGGGTCATCAGAAAGGCTCAAAGGAGGCCCCAGACAGCACAAGAGCGCTCCAAGAGGGATTCAAATTGCGTCAGGACGGCCCAAAAGACCCCCAAGGCACCCCAAAAAGCTTACCAAGGGGCTTTCAAAACACAAAAATCGTCCCATTCCCGTTGTAAGACTTACAATTTTAGCATCTTCGCCTTTCGGATTTCATCAGCTTTCAAGACGGTTTCAAAGCCCCCGAGATCGCCTCCAGACGCCCCAAAACGCCCCCAGGAAAGCTTCAAGACGGCCGAGCCGGGCCCAACGATCGCCCCAAGACAGCCCATACTGGAACCAAGAGGCCCCCCAAGGGCTCCCAGCACAGACCCAAAAGGGCCATGGGAGGTCCCCGGAAGTGCCCAAGATGGGTCCAAAAGGGGCTCCAGCGGGCCCAAGCTCCCCAAGACGGCCCAAGAAAACACCAGGACGGCCCATGAAGGCGCCAAAACGGCCCACGAGGGTCCCGAAAACACCCCCACGATGTTTCCGAATGCCAACATGAAGACCCCCAAGGCACCCCAAAAAGCTTTCGAAGGGGCCTCCAACCTCGTCCCATTCCCGTTGTAAAACCTACAATCTTAGCATCTTCGCCTTTCGGATTTCATCAACTTTCACGACGGTTTCAAAGCCCCCGAGATCGCCTCCAGACGCCCCAAAAGGCCCCCAAGAAAGCTTCAAGACGGCCGAGCCGGGCCCCACGATCGCCCACGAAAGCCCCAAGACAGCCCATAATGGAATCAAGAGGCCCCCCAAGGGCTCCCAGCACAGACCCAAAAGGGCCATGGGAGGTCCCCGGAAGTGCCCAAGATGGGTCCAAAGGGGGCTCCAGCGGGCCCAAGCTCCCCAAGGCGGCCCAAGAAGGCTCCAGGAGGGCCCATGAAGGCGCCAAAACGGCACACGAGGGCCCCGAAAACACCCACGATGTTTCCGAATGCCATCATTCATTGATTTGGCTCCCATGACATTTCACAGTGTGACCCAGTCGTTGAGGGTCTCGTGGCATGCAGCGAAGATGCCCGAGGATGCCCCGTACGAGTTACATATGCATGTTCATACCCTTGCACACATGAATGTATATGTACATATGTACGCTGTATACACACATACAAAAATGCAAATATATTGTATACACCTCGACATTTATACGGAACGTGCATGCACGTGTGCGTGTACACATGCATGCGCGCATGTACGCACGCACGCAGTCCGCTTGCGTGCAGAACTCAAAGGACCAAGGTGCATGGCGCGCAGCGCCAGTGCAGTCTTGTATGTGTATATATATATATATGTATATGTAAATCTGTATACCGATCCTAGGCCCTAGGCCCAGGATGGGCCTGGCCAGCGCTGCCCATCTGGCTTCCAAGGCCTGGGATCGGGGGCGGTGGTTGGCCAGGTCGGAACACACATATATAAGTATATATGTATAGCATGCATACATACATGCATGTGTGTATATATGTATATATGTATGCATGCATACATGTGTGTACGCTATGTATGTATGCATGTATGCATGCATGAACGCATGCATATATGCATGTATGTGTATGTGTGTGTATGTATGTATGTATGTATGTATGTATGTATGTATGTATGTATGCCTGCATTGCTTTTTATCCGACTACTCGTGTATGTTTACGTATGCACGTACGTACGGACGTATGCATGTAGGTATGCATGCATGTGTGTACGTATGTATGTATGCATGCATGCATGGATGTATGTGCATGGTTATCCAGCTATGCATGCATGTATGCAAATATGTACGTATGCACGTACGTACGTATCCATGTATGTATACATGTATGTATGTACGTGTGCATGTGTGCATGCATGTATGCATGTGTGTATGTGTGCGCATGCACGTATGCATGTATGTGCATACACGTGTATGCATTCATGCATGTATGTATGCATGTATGTGTGTATATATATATATATGTACATCGATGTATACACAACGTCATGCATATAGTTTTTTTTTGGCGAAAGGTGGTAGTCTGAAACTCTCTGCAAACCGCACAACTGGGGAGACCATCGGGCTGTACCGATAGTTCCCCGTGGCGTCGAGTAGCACGGGTGGCTGCGAATCCACCAAGACTGGCAACGTTGCCAATTGATGGAAATGCAGGGTTTGCTTGGCAAGTCGGCGGCACTCGCGATCTTTGGCGCGGAATGCAGCAATTATATGTATGAGTACATACATACACAAAACTTTAAGGCTCGCTGCGCTTCGCCTGAGAATGCTGATCCTTGCACATACATGTTTCATTGATTGACTCGGCGGTTAGCATATTGATGTAGCCGCAGCGCTGCTACGACCCATTCCCGAACCTGACGTTGGGGAGGCCCCGATTGGCAACAGACCCGACGCGTTCCGTCCAAACCGAACGCCAGGTTCGGCACTCGCCCAGCACGACGCGACGGCAACTGCGGTCGCAAGTTGTCTCTCGCCAGAGGTGGCGCTCGCAAAAGACGGATGTAGCCGAGGCTCAAACAAGAGAACCAATCTCACGCACGGACGCGGCTGGCGCTGGGGCGGTAGCACAAATCTTGGAAATAGATGTGCCTGGCGCTTGGGCGGAACACCCCATGAGGGCTGTGGCAACCGTGCGAGGGGAGTGGCATCACAATAGTCAATCAGGGGTGTGGCTGGCGCTGCGGCATGAGTCCTGTGTTTCATGAAGGATTTGGCCAGCGCGCAGCCGGCAGCATGACTCTCAGACAGGGGTGTGGCCAGCGCTAGGGCGAGAGCGCCAAACCCATCCAGGAATGGGGCTTGTGCGCAACCGGCAGCATCATCTGCAATGAGGGCTGTGGCCTCTTGAAGCCTTGGGAAGCTTCCTGGGAGTCTGTTGGAAGCATTCTGGGAACTCTGGGGGCCTCTTAGGCTTTCTTGGGGGTCCTTTTGGAACTCTTTTGGGCCGTCTGGGGGCCCTCTTGGGCTGTCCTGGGGCCCTCTTGAGCCCTCCTGGGGAGCTGGGGCCGTCTTGGAGCTCTTTTTGGGGGCTCTCTTCGGTCGTCCAGGGGGCCTCCTATGGCCCTCTTGGAGCTCCCTTGGGGTCCCCGTGGGACCCTCTGGGGCCCCTCTTGGCCGTCTTGGGGCTCTCTTGGGCCGTCTCGGATCCCTCTTGGGCCGTCTTGAGACTCTCTTGGGGGCCTCTTGGGCCGTCTTGGGGCGATATCGGGGGCCTTTTGGGCCGTCGTGGACGCCGTCAGAGCGGGAGAAGCGAATACGCTAAAAATCAACGCTTCCCGCCAGGAATTTGATGATTGTTGCCTCTTGGGGGCCCTCTGGGGGGGCCTCTTGGGCCATTTTCAAACCTCTCTGGTCGAAACCGTCTTGGGGTCTCTCTCGGAGCGCTCTCGGGCCGTC